CTTATGTCTTACTGTAAGTGGGTCAAAAAAAAAATCAATTTTAAGTAACTGATTGCATTTAATATAAATGATATAATTTCATTAAATTGAGTTTGCATCTAAATATATCCTTTTAAAGTATATTATTCCCATAAGTGGTTTAAAAAAGCACTCTAATGTTCATCTAATTGTATTTAATATAAATTTAAACTATATGACATTTTCATTTAATTGTAATTAACATGCATTTAAGTATTCCGTAAACATTGCATTCAGATTGCACTTAAGTATATTATTTTAATTTATTAAATTAATTTATTTATTATTTCTGTAATAAGTATTCTTTTTAAAAATATGCTAAAGTATACTTCATTTTCAGAACAAAACATTTAATGTGTTTAATCTATTAATTTAATAGCTATTTATGCAACAGCTAAGAAATCACAGTCAACAGCAGTCCTTTAAAGTCCTCCTTTGCAGACTAAAGAACAAAGTATTCATTCTTACCCAGGTCAACAAAAAGTTGTTTTTGTCCATTTTTGCTCTTCACTATTAGAAAGTCAAGATCCTTCTCTTCATACTTTCTTCTCTTGGCCTGAGAACCTTCCATATCATCTCTGTTCTCTCTTGGACAAACTGCTGTTGTAGGTGCCTCTGGATTGCTTTAAACCAAATCAAACCAATATGCAATTATAACAGATATAGAAGGATGTATAAATGCAGAACACTACAACGACATAAAAACATGAGGCTGTGAGAAACAGAATGAGGGTTTTTACATAAAGCAAGAGGGACAATAAAGAAATCAGTTCTAAGTACGGAGTTTGCTCACAGCTTGCAATGCTTGACATCTCACCTTTTTTGAAGCGTTTTTAGAGCAGGATGTAGGATATCAAGAATAAATCGCCCTGCAAACATGCACACACACACCACTATCACAGATTGCAACAAATGTTGAAATATATGCATCATCAACCAAGTAGTCACTAATAGTACATGATGATGAAATGACAATGACTCACCTACATGAGAGCTGTCTTTGAATGCAGCATTGGGAAGCATGAAGATAAGATGGTGACTAAACTTCTCAGAGGTGCTGGAGTCTAGATTAAGGACGTCTTTTGCAGAGCAGCGTACACCATAAACCTCCTCTAGCTTCTCACACACATACTGTTATTGTATATTGAGGAAATTACACATTTAGTTTTAAAAACTATAGTTTCTGATGTCCATTTACTAGCACCAACATTTTTTTCTTATTACTAGAAATCAGCTCTTTTGTAGTATAACACACCCAAAAGTTTGGGGTCTGTGACATTTTTCTTGTTTTTGAAAAAGGTCTTTTGAACTCACAAAGGCTGCATTTATTTGATAAAAAGTACACTATAAACAGTAATAGTGTGAAATATTGTTATAATTTAAAATGATGTTTTTCTCATTTAATATCGTTTAAAATGTAATTTATTCCTGCGATGGCAAAGGTGATTTTTTTTTTCAGCAACCAATACTCCAGTCTTCAGTGTCACATGATTCTTCTCAGAAATCATTCTAATATGCTGATTTTTTTGGCACTCAAGAAACATTTATGATTATTATCAATGTTGAAAACATTGTGCTGCTTAAAGGGATAGTTCACCCAAAAATGAAAATGTGATGTTTATCTGGTTACTCCCAGGGCATCCAAGATGTTAGTGATTTGTTTCTTCAGTAGAAGACAAACGAAGATTTTTAACTCAAACCGTTGCAGTCTGTCAGTCATATAATGGAAGTGAATGGGAATCACGGCACCATTGACACTCTAGCTACAATCTCAATTACGAGTGTCAATGGTGCATTTGAGAGATAGGTGGCGGTAATGCACTTATAAGTCTGAGATCCGCCGTAAAGCAAGAAGAAGAAGAAGATGCGTCACACGCCGGCTGTCGAGGACGCGGTCAGGACAGTTCGGACATTGCAGTGCATCAGAGGTAAAAAACGATATAAATACTGTTCAGTTTCTTACACAGACCGATCGTTTCGTGTCTTTACACATCAATGTATCGTCACGAGCCGCAGGGTTTAATTTGGTTTTGTTTGTGTATGTTTTTTTGACTCTCAAAGCCGTGGAGCCCATTCACTTCCATTATACGACTGACAGACTGCAACGGTTTGAGTTAAAAATCTTCGTTTGTGTTCTACTGAAGAAACAAAGTCACCTACATCTTGGATGCCCTGGGGGTAAGCAGATAAACATCAAATTTTAATTTTTGGGTGAACTATCCCTTTAATATTTTTTGTGCAATTTAAAGTATTCATTACTTTAAAAAATTAAACTTACTGACCCCAAACTTTTGAACAGTACTGTATACTTACCTGAATTAGTTTTGCCACCATCATCTTGCCGTCCAGGTGTGTGTTGGAGGTTTTGTCAAACTCTAAGTCAAAGTAGAGTTTGCAGACGGCCCCTTCCACAATGACCTCATAGCAGTGCATCAGAGACTGTCTGTGAGTGCTGAAGAGACACAGAAATCTCATTCACCTCTAAGTGCATGTACATTGTATTAAAAGTGAATTAAAAGTAAATTGGTAATGTGTAAAGTAACACATTTCGCTAAAATTGTTTCATACATTTCGTTATGTGTTGCAGGTACCTGTAATAATGCCAAAGTTCACTGTAGCTGGTCACTAGGAAAATCCTCTGTCCAGCATCACTGCCTTCCTTCTCCAGTGAAAATATGTGCACATCCTGATAAAGACATAAGAGCCAAACATTAAAAAAACATCTGAAGTACTACCTCATTTAAAACAGATATCCAACGGCTTCTGTCTGGACCTGTTTAATGTGCTGAGTGAAGGCGATGGCTGCGTTCTGCCGTGGGAAGAGTCTCCAGACAGAGAAGGGCTGCCACGGCCGGGACAGGCGCGGCTTGTACGGACAGCACAGAGGAGAAGACTGAAAAGATGAGGCTCTCTGCTCCACAGACTTCAGCCTGTCCTGCCATTTTCCTCCTGTCATCCTTGCTTCAAAACACTGGTTTATGAGTTTATGATTAAATCTCACTCATGCTCTGTGATGTGATCAGCAGAGGACAGTAAAGAGCTCAGGAGAAATGAAGTCACCTGTAAACAGTTGAAGGTCCATCAGCAAATACACAGTGAATGCCTCTGATACAGCAGATCATAACAGATTTCTCTAATACATGGATATTATCAGGCAGTGAAGGGTGTACATATTAACTCTCAATAAATGTGTTGATTTTCTAATCCTGAGAGAGAGAGAGAGAGAGAGAGAGAGTGAGTGAGTAAGTGAGTGAGTGAGTGAG